GCAGAGAGAGACAGAGAGGAGCAGAGAGACGGAGACGAGGAGCAGAGAGAGACGGAGACGCGAGGAGAGAGAGACGCGAGGAGAGAGGAGCAGAGAGACGGAGACGCGAGGAGCAGAGAGAGACGGAGAGGAGCAGAGAGACGGAGACGCGAGGAGCAGAGAGAGACAGAGACGCGAGGAGAGAGAGACGCGAGGAGAGAGGAGCAGAGAGACGGAGACGCGAGGAGCAGAGAGAGACAGAGAGGAGCAGAGAGACGGAGACGCGAGGAGCAGAGAGAGACAGAGAGGAGCAGAGAGACGGAGACGCGAGGAGCAGAGAGAGACAGAGACGCGAGGAGAGAGAGACGGAGACGCGAGGAGCAGAGAGAGACGCGAGGAACATAAACAATAATTTAAACAAGTTGCAGAACTCTTGAGCAGTGTTTGAATCAGTGTTTTTCGGAAAAGCACTACTTTGCCGGTATCTGTCAATGTTCAACATAAAACACAGATTAACAAACTCCTCCCCCGCAGCCGGACTAACCTCGTAAGTCCAGTGGTGGTCTCCCAGTCTATATTAATTCTTTCTTTGTTTGAAAGTCCATTTGAGAAAAAAAATCTTCATTCAAATCATCCATTTTCCAGCAAAAGAAATAGCATTTTGGGCTGATTGTTTGTTAGCAACTCTGGTATGAACTTTATGCTCACTATCACCCCTAGCGGTGAGGCACAGATACCGCCTGCCTCACGCCAAGCTTTTTCCTTGTGTGTTCATCTACGATCAAAAGACTTAAACTAAATATAAATTGTACACACATACGTGCAATACACTACTAAACACTAAGAGGAGTTTAAAAAATGTTTTTAAAGCAGGATATTTGAAACAAACGGTGATATATCAACTGCACGAGCTGAGTGCACTCAGACACACACACACACACTGTGAGGGAGCGGTCTGGGGTGAGGCACGCAGGAGCGCTGCCTCACCTCGTCTCTTTGAATAGGAATAACGGGATTTCGGCGATTTTGACTTCAGAAATGATCAAAACTGATGGGAACCGTGCCGAATATACATTAAAAGCATAGGACAGTGGATATAAATTATATATTTAAACTAAAATAATTATTAGTTTCCAATAATGGCAGGTGAGGCTCTGCCTCCCCTGCCTCCCCTGACTGCACGTCCCTGCCGGAGATATGATCCTGAGTCGGACACCTGAGTTCCAGAGTCCGGACTGGTTCCATTGCTTTGTAAACATGTTCCTGCATCACAGCTACACCTGGTCCATTGTAGCCTTATTTTAGCACTTTTGAGCCCGAAGTAGTGCTGGCAGGTTAGCTCAAAGATCCCGTCTTAAATAACTATTTTCACCGTATGTTTAGAAATACGATGTCAGACATCATCATCGTGTAAGACATGGAAAATGCCACAAATGCACATGATATATATTTTTCTTTTAGGCTAAGTTTCTCAACTCTTCTTCTTCACACTTTGTTTAGTAGGGTGCACTATTTGTTCAAACATAAAATACTTACAATACAATTTATTCTTGTATAGCCCTAAATCACAACAGAAGTCATCTCAGAGGACTTAACAATACCATTGAAATCACCAACACAGATCAGAGCATCAACAGTTAAAACACATAAAGAATATAGAACACATGTTGAAAAATTTCCATACATGTTGTAGAATGTTAAAGTGTCCTGGATCATCACCAAAGTCCTTCTAGTTGGACACTAACTGCCCAACAGACCCTCCTGCATTGGCAAGGAAAAACTCACAAGAAAACCCAGTGGGAAAAAGTGAGAAACCTCGGGGAGACCCATGGTTTGAGAAAGGGATCCGCTCCCACGGGCTATAGATCCAGGACCTAAGCTACTGAACGTGGACCAGCGGCCGCTGAACGTGGACATGTCCGGTACAGGACTGAAGAACTCTCAGGCGGGTCGGACAGGGCAGTCAAGCTGTAGATGGTGTAGATGGAGGAGGCCAGGTCCAGAGGTGCCGTCATCGTACCATGGAACATACAAAGGGACAACGGGTGAATAGCAAACTACAGTCCAAATCCTAATAATGCTAAACAGATAAAGTAGGAAGGAGGAGAGGATAGTGCTCAAGTTACCATACCTCTCCCAGCAAACTGACTCCCTATGCAGCTTGACTGACAGGCTAAGGAGTTTAGCCTTCCCTGAGTCTTACCTTCCTAGCCATATGCTAACTAAAGAGGACTGTTTTAGCCTAGCCTAGAACGTAGAGTTAGAAGATGCAGCGGACCGGGTCCCACATACGCAGACTCCAAGATCAGACGAAACCTGACCGGACAACAACCTAACCAAATGCTAAGTTGAAAAGGAGTGTTTGAAGCCTGGCCTTAAATGTAAAGACATTTTTGCACAAACCAAGTCCGATTTGCACCAAATTTGATTCGGTTGTTCAACTTTTGGTTTTGGGTAAACTGAAAGTGTAAAAAATTAAATTGCAGCATTAGCGCCCTCTACAGAAAGTTTTACATGGGTGAGAATGGCATTCTCTAAGTCTGATTTGCACTAAACTTGACTCAGTTGTTCAACTCCTGGGCCTAGGTCGCCTGAAAGTGTGAACAATGACATTGTCCGATTAGCGCCCACTACAAGCTGAGTAAAACTTTTACATAGGGGACACAGCAGCAAAAAGTGAACTTTTTTTTCCCCCCTTTTTTGACGATAGAAAAATAGCTCTTGTTTGCAAATACAAAGTTTGATTTGCACAAAACTTCAATCAATTGTTCAACTCCAGGGTCTAGGTCATTTGAAATTGGTCCATTAGCGCCCCCTGCAGACTATGTCAAAGTTTTACATGGGGCACCAAACCGACTGATCATATTAATTACAATTTCATAAACAAGTGTTCTATGGCTACAGGAGCAAATCATGGCACGGAGGCGCCTCCTTTGCGCACTGCGGCGCGGTACGGTGTGGTGCGGGGCGGCTTGTTGCGGGGCGGCGTGGTGCGGGGAGTTGCACGGGGCGGCGAGGGCCGTTCAATGCCGCTTGCGGCTTTACAGTTGCGAAAGTATTCGGCCCCCTTTAACCTTTCAACATTTCGCCACATTTCAGGCTTCAAACATAAAGATATAAATACATTTTTTTTTTGTCAAGAATCAACAACAAGTGGGACACAATCTTGAAGTGGAACGAAATGTATTGGATAATTTAAAAAAATTTAACAAATAAAAAACTGAAAAGTGGGGCGTGCAATATTATTCGGCCCCCTTACGCTAATACTTTGTAGCGCCACCTCTTGCTGCAATTACAGCTGGAAGTCGGAAGTTGGGGTATGTCTCTATCCGTTTTGCACATTGAGAGACTGGAATTCTTGCCCATTCTTCCTTGCAAAACAGCTCAAGCTCAGTGAGGTTGGATGGAGAGCGTTTGTGAACAGCAGTCTTCAGCTATTTCCACAGATTCTCGATTGGATTCTGATCTGGACTTTGACTTGGCTATTCTAACACCTGGAGCACCTTCTTCCACATGTTTGGTGTGTCTCCCAGGTGGTTTGTGGCAAACTTTAAACGAGACTTTTATGGATCTCTTTGAGAAATGGCTTTCTTCTTGCCACTCTTCCATAAAGGCCAGATTTGTGCAGTGCACGACTGATTGTTGTCCTATGGACAGACTCTCCCACCTCAGCTGTAGTTATCTGCAGTTCATCCAGAGTGATCATGGGCCTCTTGGCTGCATCTCTGATCAGTCTTCTCCTTGTTTGAGATGAAAGTTTGGAGGGACGGCCGGGTCTTGGTAGATTTGTAGTGGTCTGATACTCCTTCCATTTCAATATAATTGCTTGCACAGTGCTCCTTGAGATGTTTAAAGCTTCTTCTTTAAACTTCTCCACAACAGTATCTCGGACCTGCCTGGTGTGTTCCTTTGTCTTCATGGTTCTCTCTGCGCTTTAAACAGAACCCTGAGACTATCAAAGAGCAGGTGCATTTATACGGAGACTTGATTACACACAGGTGCATTCTATTTATCATCATCAGTCATTTAGGACAACATTGGATCATTCAAAGATCCTTACAGAACTTCTGGAGTGAGTTTGCTGCACTGAAAGTAAAGGGGCTGAATAATATTGCACGCCCCACTTTTCAGTTTTTTATTTGTTAAAAAAGTTTAAATTATCCAATAAATTTCGTTCCACTTCACGATTGTGTCCCACTTGTTGTTGATTCATGAAAAAAATTTAAATGTTATATCTTTATGTTTGAACCATGAAATGTGGCGTAATGTTGAAAGGTTCAAGGGGGCCGAATACTTTCACAAGGCACTGTAATTATTATTATTATTCTTTATCAATAAATGCCAACCATGGCTTAAAATCTGGTTCTTGTGTTGTTCCCCCTTATTCTTTGTTGCAGCCACAGAGCCGGTGTAACGCCGAGATACACTGCCTTGAAGAGATGTAATGCAAACCTGCGCATGCGCGTCTCACGGCAGCCGAAGCATACCAAGATGGCGGACCGTGAATTTCTTTAAAAGTTAAAATACGAACGAATTAAGACACGAATGTCACTTTTAATGCAATTTGAGGCGAGATGTTGATGGTTCCGTTTTGTCACATGTGGGTTTTAAGAGTCAAATACGACAATGGCAGTCGATGAGTTAATTAGATAGATTTTTTTCCCCATTTTCCATTAGCAACCCGACAGACCAGTCATCAGCCTACGTCACGACCAAGAAATGCTAATGCTCACAGTGCCACCGAAGTAAATGCTGTCACGCACGTGAAGAAACAAAACAATGATAAAAAGACAGACACAATCCAACAGCTGGTAGAGAAAGTAGAAAAGCTAACGAGTATGGTTGAGCATTTACAATCACAACAGACTGAACAAACAAACCAACACACAAAGAGTAAAGGGAACTATCAGAAACCAAAGCGACACGGTTGTCCAACATGTCTTGCAGATAATCGTTTTGATTGTCCTCAATGCTTTTACTGTGGTGCAGAGGGACATCAGGCCGTGGGTTGTCTCAAGAAACTACCGCGTCAGGGAAACTGGGACCGGTCTCTGCCAAGGGACAACCAGTGACCCAACCTGCCACAAGTAAAGAAAAAGAAAATGAACAACAGACGGAAACTAAACATGTCAACACACTCGCTACAGACTTACCTGAGGATGACTTTAAACTATATGCTGTAAATGGTTATTGTCTTCCATTTGAGGGTTGGGTTGCTATCACAGTCAACCTTATGGGTAATGTCGATCCCAGCTTGTCTATCACGGTGCCCTTGCTCATAAGTAGTTTTGCTCTGGAAAAACCAATATTAGGTTTCAATGTGCTAGAGGAAGTGTTTCAAAGGCAACCGGAACAGTTGGGTCCAACACTCACCAACTTACTCTGTAGTGCTATGTCCATCCCTACAGAAAAAGCAGAGCTGCTGGTGAACTTCATTCAAACAGACAAACCCTCAACTCAAACTCATTGGTAAATGTGACACCACTATTGCAGCAGGTCAAGTTGCGTGGATCAAGTGTTGTGTTTCACCAAATTTGAACTTGTCAGAGACTGTATTTCTCTTCGAGCCTGATACAAATAACATACATCTTGCAGAACTGGACATTGGTGAGGGTCTTGTGGAGGTACGTAACTCAAAGTATCCTCGTGTATTTATTCCTGTGGGCAACAACACCAAACACACAGTGACTTTGAAAAGAAAAACAGCTCTTGGTTGTATTCAGAGTTTTGATAAAGTGATTCCCCTGAAGAACTGGAGGATGCAGAGCCCACAGAAACCATCAACAGTACATCCGCTCATACTATTGACTCGGTACCATGGCAACCTCCTGTTTCTTTAAGTCACCTCACAAATGAGCAACAAGAAAAAGTACACAAGATGCTCTGTGAAGAATCGGGTGCCTTCGCCCAGGACAGTACAGAGATCGGATGCATGCCAACTCTACAAATGTCGATCAATCTGACTGATAACATCCTTGTCCAAAGATCCTACTCGTCGATACCCAAACCACTTTTAAAAAAAGTTAAGGACTACATAAAAGAACTGCTGTTGAAAGGGTGGATAGTAAAATCAAAGTCCCCATACGTTGCTCCCGTTGTATGTGTCAGAAAAAAAGATGGCAGCTTACGCTTGTGTATTGATTATAGGCTTCTCAATAAAAAGACTGCTCCGGATCGACATCCACTGCCCAGAATACAAGACCTGACTGACACTCTTGGTGGTTATGCCTGGTTCAGCATTCTAGACCAGGGAAAGGCATACCACCAGGGTTTTGTTTCGGAGGCGTCCCGCCAGTTTACCGCCTTCAGATTCAGATTCAGATTCATTTATTTGCCATTTGCAGTAAAACCACATTGGAAAAACTGTGCAAGACTACCCCAGTGTGCACCAGACGACACACACCAGAGCTCTTGCCACGGCGCCATCTTTTCGGCGCCATGCGACAAACAGTAGAATAAACAGCAGAGAACAATAACATACAGTTTCACAGACAATTGGATAGACACATTGTGCTTTGTATAAACCACGGATTTTTTTCTCGGGATGAGCACCTCCGACTGCCGGCCCAATGTGGCTGTCAGAGGGGGGCAGGGTCAGGGAGGGGGTGAGTCGGAAACACAATGAGGAGTGGAGGGGAGGGAGGGAGCAAGATGGATAGGTAGAGGGAGGTGGGGGAGCGGGATCCGTGCTGGAGACTGAATAGTGTGAGTTGTTGTAGATGGGGACCTTGTTATTATGGCCTTGGCCGAGGAATGTGAGATAAGAGTGGAGAGAAGACACAGCAGGAGAAAAACACATTGCCTGAGAGGGACAATATTATATGCAATGTAGCAGTCAAAAGCAGGCAGATATTCTATTAAATCCAATTAAACCGAATTGCGGCGCCCTCAGACCTCCGTACACAGGGGCAAATCCAAGCCGGGTCAGAGAGTTCAAGCCTGACACACGATGTCATTCAATCTCATCTCCAATGTTTTAAAGTTTTATTCCCTTCGAGTGAACGAGTTGCGAGGTCTTTTATCAACTGTTCCACCAACACAACTCTCCTTTGTCCAGACACGGCACTCTGTTATGGAAATTCTAATGCTTCGAATGAATGAATCCAAGAAGCAACAGCTTGTCTTTGTGCAGTTTATTTACAGAGGTAATGAATACAATCAAATAACATCTGTCTGCAGAGAGAGAGAGTCGGACCGAAGCTGTGCGCACGCTGGGTTTGCACAGTCTCGCTCTGCCCCTCCCATACAAGCATGTTCATAATTATACTAGAGGCGTGAATCAAAAGAACAATGAGCGGACGTCACGGACTCAGACAGACGGGGGGCGAGATGGGGTGAGTCATGCACCAGCAGGGGTGGAGGAGAAGACAAGAGACGGGAAGAAACAGATGGACACAAAGAAATGGACAAGCGGGAACATTGAGATAACACGAGGGTACATTGAGATAGCACACCTGCAGATTGCAACAGCTAGCACACAGAGTCTATGGGAGAAGAGGACAGCAGAATGTCCCTTTGTGTTGAAGACAATAAGCCTTTGTGTAATGTAACAGTGATTATGAAAAATGCAATCTCCCGTCCGGGAATCTCTTCAAATGTATCTGTCAGCTGCACAACACAATCACACAATCTCCTGATGCTGGGAATCTGACCATAACAATCCACCCTATTGATTATCTTAAATCAATCACACACATGCTATTAAGTACTAAAAATATAAGTAAAATATAACACAAACCCCGGAACATCAAAATTTTCACACCTAGTAGGTTTAAGAAAATCCGTCATAAAATGGGTTAAACATACAAACCAATTTACTCAAAATCATCAAGTAACATCTCACTAAATGGATCACTGTCCCCATCAGGACAGTCAACATGCAGGTTAAGAGAAATGTGTTGAACGAGTGTCGACGAGATCATACGTCGGATCAACGAACGGATCAAAGGAATGACACAACATGACACCACTATCAGCAGTACTAATATTACTCCAAGTCCAGTACCTATTTGGTACTGGACCAGCTCTATACTCTCCATCGGATACTCAAGGGTTCATGGGAGTTCGCCCAACCTGTCCACATGTGCTTTGTGGATTTGGAGAAGGCGTTCGACTGTGTTCCCCGGGGTGTCCTTTGGGGGGTTCTCCGGGAGTACGGGGTCGGGGGTCCTCTGCTGAGGGCCATCCGGTCCCTGTATGACCGGAGCCAGAGCTGTGTTCGCATTGCCGGCAGTAAGTCAGACCTGTTCCCGGTGAATGTTGGCCTCCGACAGGGCTGCCCTTTGTCACCGGTTCTGTTCACTGTATTTATGGACAGAATATCTAGGCGCAGCCAGGGGTCGGAGGGGGTCCGGTTCGGGGACCACAGGATTTCATCTCTGCTGTTTGCGGACGATGTTGTCCTGTTGGCTCCAACGAACCAGGACCTGCAGCATTCACTAGGACGGTTTGCAGCCGAGTGTGAAGCGGCTGGGATGAGAATCAGCACCTCCAAATCTGAGGCCATGGTGCTCGACCGGAAAAAGGTGCCCTGCCCTCTTCAGGTGGGTGGAGAGGTCCTTCCTCAAGTGGAGGAGTTCAAGTATCTCGGGGTCTTGTTCACGAGTGAGGGAAGAAGGGAGCGTGAGATTGACAGGCGGATCGGTGCAGCGTGCGCAGTGATGCGGTCGCTGTATCGGACCGTTGTGGTGAAGAGGGAGCTGAGCCGAAAGGCAAAGCTCTCGATTTACCGGTCAATCTTCGTTCCCTCCCTCACCTATGGTCATGAGCTTTGGGTAATGACCGAAAGAACGAGATCGCGGATACAAGCGGTCGAAATGAGCTTCCTCCGCAGAGTGGCTGGGCGCTCCCTTAGAGATAGGGTGAGGAGCTCAGTCACACGGGAGGAGCTCGGAGTAGAGCCGCTGCTTCTCCACGTCGAGAGGAACCAGTTGAGGTGGCTCGGGCATCTGTTCCGGATGCCTCCTGGACGCCTCCCTGGGAAGGTGTTCCGGGCACGTCCCACCGGGAGGAGGCCCCGCGGAAGACCTAGGACACGCTGGAGGGACTATGTCTCTCAGCTGGCCTGGGAACGCCTTGGGGTCCCCCCGGACGAGCTGGAGGAAGTGTGTGTGGATAGGGAAGTCTGGGCGTCTCTGCTTAGACTGCTGCCCCCGCGACCCGGCAACGGATAAAGCGGAAGAAAATGGATGGATGGATGGACAGTACCTATTTGAATCAACCATGCTCGCCAGTCTGAAAACCCTGAAGCATCTAGAACGAAATCACGGTTAACCGCATCGCGCAAAGTAGTCAGATTTCGAATACCTTGTGCAATGATCCCATCATCGGCACTGTTATCAGGAATATAAGTACAACAAGCGGTCTGATTAAGTAAGACACAAACACCTCCACTTGAGGCAACCAAATGATCCAAAACAATCCTGTTTTGTAAAGCAACGGCACGCAACGCATTTACTTCTACTCTGTTGGCCTCTAGAATAGTTACAGTTGAATTCACAAAAGTTGAAAACCGATAATTCAAAGTTTCCATTCTAAGCATAACCTTCCCTATACCGACCTGGGGGAACAAGGAGAGAAGTACCTTTGTTGGCTTAGTCCACAGTTTGTGATCATCTGGAACATCCGTTCCCCAAACTGCATCATGAGCAGCAAAATCGCGCTTACCTCGCGACCTAGGAATGGTAGAGATGATGTAAGAGTGATCTGAAGCTGTCATCAGAGCACAACGACCTATCCAATTAAGTGGTAGCTTCACATAGACATTGAAGCCACACAGCCACAAAACACCCTTCAGAGGATTAGTCCCTGTTGAGTCAGGAACCGTGAAGTATGGGGAACATGTACTACCCGGAGCGGCCTGAGAAGTGTTTAAACTTGAATTACCATGAAAAGAAGTACACGGATTAGACACATTTAAACAAAATGACATTGGGATCCATCCCATCTGTATAGGAGAATCTGTGATGGTCATGGATAAGGTGTAACATACAAATTTAGTACCAGGTCTGATATGTACCGGACCAAAAATCGGACCCTCTACATCACATGTGTCAAAGTCAAGGCCCGCGGGCCGGTATTGGCCCGCGAATGAATTATCTATGGCCCCCCGGGACATTGCCTACCATTGAGGCAATGTATTGACCCCTTAAGCTCGCTAGCCCCCGCCGGCGGGAGCAAACGAGGAAAAAAATACATCTGCTGGCAATAGCAGATGTATTTTGAACTTCATAAGCCACAAGCTATATATCATTTTAAAGCTTATTTTCTCAGCTATATTTATATGTAAGTGTAAACGATATCAGACTTTGCATTAAAAAGATATAATGCATAATATGGGCACAAAATAAATCAGTCTGTATTTGTTTTTTACCTTTCGTCTTCTGCTGCTCCAACAAATTAGACTTTCCCCATCCTTGCTTAGTCTCTTTCTCTCCGTAACTGTTCATTGAAGAAGAATATCCACTTGTATTTCCCAAAGTATAATCCATTCTTCAGATTTAATCAAAAAACGCCCCGAAAAGAGGTACAGACTGCTCTTTTACATTTCACCAAGTTTGAGCTTTTTCTTTTTTTACTATTCTCATGTTCTCAGATGTCTATTTCATCTAATATGTACAGTATGAGGTTTGGCTTTAGAGCATATTTTATCGAGCCAACAGGTGTCACCGGCACTGCCTCTGGATGTTGAGAAACATTGAACCAGTCCGGCCCTCGGCGCGTAGCTAACTTTTTTTTTTTTGGCCCTCTGATGTATTTGACTTTGACATGCCTGCAGCTTTTATGTCTGACACCACCTGTGAATGGGTCTTTCCCTCAACAGACAGTCCGTTGACCTGGCAGACAAAAAATATAACAACAAGAATTTATTACAGTGATATCAGTTTGTCGTCACCATAAACTCAATGCCGCCTAATGTCTAATATTGTATATGAATGATTATTTCTGCCACAAATGTCAAGAGATACTTAATTGATCCCCGTAGGAGAAATTTAGGTGTCCAGTAGCAGCAGAAACACATGCATTCATACAAACAAAACAAATAAATGGATCACTCTAAAAATAGCTAACATCCATTTATCCATCCATTTTCTACCCCCTATTCCGCAAAGGCCAATGCAATACCAACTGAGCCAATGTCGCCCCAATAGTATTAAAATGCAATAGCAGAAGAGGTGGACTAGCCGCTGGGCGGAGCATGACAGGCCACAGTGGCAGAGGCAGAGCAGCCTCTGGGTGGAACAGGACAGGCTACAGCAGCAGAGGCGGTGCAGCCGCCTGGCCCGGACCACCCCCTCCACTCCAGTCCAAAGCAAGATGCTGAATGCCTTGCCAGCCTCCCTCAAAAAGTTAGCATTCCTCCAGATCCGCATTTCCGCCTGATCCGCATATCTCAGACCACAAATCCCCTCCACTCCGGACCAGTGCAAAACCATGAAAACCGTTCTGCAGCAACATCTCAGGTAGAAAAAAGTAAGAAAAATAATGATTTTAAAGCCCAAAACAACAGCTGAGATGCTAAGGACTTGCTGCCGTTTCCAGTGCATTCATTTTTTTTTATAGTTTATAGCTAAAAAAATTTCAATCTGCCTGAGATTAACCTATTGAATTCATAGATCACTTACTTATATACAGTCGGGAATAAAGTATTAAGTCAGCCACCAGTTCAAATTCAGTGTAAGTTGTCCCACTTAAAAAGATGAGGGAGGCCTGTAATTTTCATCATAGGTATACCTCAACAATGAGAGACAGAATGAGAACAAAAATGTATTATAACACTTTATCTTGTATTCCTGTATTTATTTTAAAAAATGGAGGTTTGCATTGAGGGCAATTTCTTTTTATAAAGCGTCACTTCCTTTTGCACTTTCACTGTTTGTGAGTGTGTTCAGGCTCCACCCTATGCTCCATCCTTTGTGAAGTACCTGTACTATCCTGTCCTGGGGCTGCAGTCCAGCTCTCTCAGCCGGAGAGTCCTCATCTACAGCCCGGATGAACTGCCCCGGCCTCGCCCTCTCGCTGTGGAGGTTGAACCCATACCCATTGGTCCCTCTTTGGATGACACACAGACGTGGCCGCAACGTTGCCCTCTCCTCCTACAACAAAGAAAGCACAAGTTTGTAAAAAAAAATTAAATGCACTCGCACAATGCTTTGTTGTAGAAATTCAGTTTGAAACCAAAAATACCTCGACCATTGGATCAGGAAGAACTAGTGGAACAAAGATGATGGACAACTCCTGCGAATCATTGACCATAAATATAAATCCTAGGTTAAACATACAGGTGGTTGCGGCATGCTGGCGTGTCAAGGCCCTTTAAATCCCAGGGAAACAATACAAACTTGGGCTCCACATGAGCTTCAGGAAGGAAAAGAGGTCTTGGAGCGAGGAAGTTTGTGATTGGCGAGCTAAAGGGAGGAGATCCGAGTCGGTATGGGGTGTGGGAGACAGCAGATCCGGTGTTGGGCCCAAGAACGACAATAGAATCTGGGCGCTCACCTTTGTCCGAGCTCCACATGACTGTATCCCATACACCTAGCTGCTTGTGGGATGACAGGACGAGTCAAAACCATATTGTCATCCAGGAAAAGCTCCCTTCCTCTTTATAGATGAGGCTCAACAGCAAACAAGCATTTTGGATAAAGATTCTGTGTAACTATAGCCACAGTTGGACCTGGACTGGACCTGGTATGATTTCACTACAGGTAAATATATACTTGTAGTCAAAGTCTTCACATCTGACCTGGTGATTTTCTGCAGTCCTTCCAAATTCCTCCCACAGCGTACGCCAACAATGGAAGCTGCTATATATAACAGGGAATGACTCATACTGGAGGAAGCGTGATCTGGATGTTTGGGAAAAGTCTTACATTTTTGTAGTCACATAAATACAGATGAAATGCAAAGAGCTGAAGCAATCAAGCCAAGTGTCAACAAGTCTTAATTTCGATTATTGCATTACTTTGGAGAGGGCAGAGCTGAAAGTCTTTGACTGTATTGTCATCAAAGAAAACATAAACCATATCTGAAAAACATGCAATCTGTGTTAGTTGATTATGAGCAAAACGTCAGCATTGATGTGCCAATGCTAAATGTCTTGGCTTTCTTTTGTTTAAACTTTTTTGTGAGATGTGTGGTCCACTACTTATTTCATATTTCTTTTCAGTTTATTTTATTTCATCTAATATATATCCATAGACAGTACTAGGCGTGGACTGACCTGTGTTCCTGTCTTTGTTTTAAGCTGCACTTTGCGTCTGCACCTTGTTGCATTCATCCTGCACTTTTAAATAGTTTGATCTCAGATGTTTATCACTTATTGTTTTTCTGTCTGTACACAAATACAATTTAATAACTTTCCAGAGTTGTAGACTCAAGTCACATGACTTGGACTCGAGTCAGACTCGAGTCATAAATTTGATGACTTTAGACTCGACAAAATCTTAAAAGACTTGCAACTCGACTTGGAATTTAACATCAGTGACTCGTGATTTCACTTGGACTTGACCCGTTTGACTTGAAAAGACTTGCTACTTTCCTCAAACCCAAAGATTAAAAAGTATGTTCACATGACCAGGACCATCACAAGTATGTCAAATTTTCGCCAAAAGCGATTTGTAAACAGGCCGGCGCAAGGGCGGCTATGTACGCAGCGGGGTCCTTCAGAGAGAACGAGCAGATAACTTAAGCAGTGTCTAAATCTGAGTGAGGTAGAGACGCAGAAAGTAACGGGAATGAGCCAGTGTACGGAGAGATGGACATTCACGTCTTCTGTGTGAGGAGGAAGTGACAGAGGTGTGTGAGCAGAGGAGGAGGAGCAGCGAGACAGGTGTGTGAGTGCTGCTGTTTCAATGTTAAGTAGAAGGTACATATCAAAAACATAATATAAAAGCATTAGCACACAGCGCATGCCCAGCTTTAGTACCCACTGCGAGTGCAGGGATTTTGGGCATAAAACGCCTAGTTGTGGCCAGTGTGTGGAGGTGTGTGGAAAATGTTATTTGATTGGGAAAAAATACAACAAATAATGACTCCGCCTCAGTCATTTTGGCGCATTTTGCCATAATCTAACAATCAGATTCGGGTCCTGGATAAACTAACATCAATGCTGGACCATGACTGTCATCCCCTGCAGGACACTCTCTCTGCTCTGGAGAGCAGCTTCAGTGACAGACTTATTCATCCTCGCTGTGTGAGGGAGAAGCTTTGCAGGTCCTTCCTCCCTGCTGCTGTCAGACTGTACAGTATAACGAGAACTGCTGAGTCTGTCTAAGTGTCACTGATAATAATTCACTAGTAACTATTAGTGAATTAATAGTTACTAGTGAAGGTAAAGTGACTAGTGACTTTAGCCACTAGTAAATGACAGGATATCAGATGGATGGATATGTAATAATGCAGTAATAATAATAACCTGCTCATACCGGCTGATATTGTAACTATTGTTTATTCTGCTCATACTCTCCGCTGCTAAAGTACAATATAAACATCTGTAAATATTTCTGAACCAAGTGCAATTATAGCTCCAGAGTTCATTTTAATGTATTTTATTCTATTTTACCATCTTATTATTTACCTGCTCTGTTTGATGTGTGCAATCTGAGTGCTCTTCTTTCCTTCTTTTTCTGCTGTAATGTGTGCAACAATGACACTGAAATTTCCCCACTGTGGGACGAATAAAGCATAAGATCTTATATTCTTATCAGAATCAGAACAATTTTTATTGCCACGTAAGTAACAGGAAGTCACAGACTTTGAAATTGCTTCGGCTCGGTGCATCAGTCAGAAAAGAGAGGTAAAGAATAGAGAATAGCGTAAGACATAATAAAAATCAGCAAACACTTCTAAGGAATAAAAATAAAATACAATTACTATGTACAATATGCAGTAGGCAGAGCAATAAGATGACAAGCAGTAAGTGACATCATGATGGCCATTAAAGTGACTTAATAAGGGACAGTAAGGTGACTTTACAAGGGGCCGTAAGGTGACTTATAAAGGGCGGGGGGACAGGTTATGAGTGTTCAAGAGTCCAACAGCAGAGGGGACGAAATTTTTCTTATGGCGGGATGTTTAGGTCGTGATGGACCGCAGCCTCCTGCCCAAGGGGAGTGGTTGGAATAGTCCATGTGCAGGGTGAGAGGGGTCGGCTGTGATACGACCAGCCCGGCCTCGAGCTCGGGCGACGTACAGGTCCTGCAGCGATGGAAGGCTGCGGCCGATCACTTCCTCTGCAGAGCGCACAATGCGCTGTAGTCTCTGTTTGTCCCTGACTGTGGCTCCAGCGAACCACACAGTGATGGAGGAGGTGAGGATGGACTCGATGATGGCCGTGCAGAACTGGACCAGCATCTGTGCAGGCAGCTTGGCTTTCCTGAGCTGCCGCAGGAAGTACATTCTCTAGAGCGCACAAAAGAGCCGAGGCGACCGTGCGAGGCGCCATCTTGAGTGGGGTTGTTTATGTGTTTATGCAAAACACATGCATGTGAAAACTAGTGATAGATCCAAACTTTCTATTTAGACAGATTGATGTATTACATTGTTAATATCCACCATTTCTGTAACATTTACAACACAATTATGGAGTAACCAATGGCTGACATAATCTGTTGCACCTGTCAGACCAAGCTGGCCTGTGCTGTGCTTCTCTCACCCCTATCTCTCATAATTTAAAAAAATAAAAACATTTAGTTAACCTCATACCTGGGAAACAAAGACATCTTGTTAAAAAGCATTTGCTGCAGATTAATAATCTGAGGGTCAGACTTAATAAATGTTTGATTTCCATGGCACCTTTCAGACTGGGCCTGTTTTCCAAGTTAGTAAGTGTATGAGGCAGGTAGTGTTGTGTTTCAAGTGGCAGCATTGAACCAGCTGCGAGGCAGGAAGGAGACAAAGCTTCTCTCTATGTCCTCCGCTGATCCATTTGAGGATGGGACAAAGTGGCCACAGAATAGACTCCCAAACAACCTTTACAATAGAGTCTTCCAGAGTCCTGAACACAATTATCACTCAACGCAGCACGGATTGAGATGAGATTATGATTAGAAGCAAGGTCACCTCCAGAACAACCTTTTTCTTTATGAACCTTATTAAGATGGGTTACATTTTAAGAAGAAAAAGAAGAAGAAGACCTACATGTTTCTAGGTCTCAGAGCTACAGTATGTGACCTAATATGTGAGTATGTGGTGAATCCATGATTTTGTGAGGTCTACACGACTGGCCTTAACAGCGTAATAAGCCAGTCAGTCGATAAGATGTCAACACATGTTCAAACTTAGGCTTAGAAGAGCTAGACAAGTTTTGACCACTGGAAAGGCTGACCTATTTACTACAAATGTTTGGCTACAGAGTTTTTTTTATGGTGAAGCAGTCTAAGTCCTGTGTTTCCTATTGGTCAAGAAGACAGTTATGTTAAATAAGTGATATCTGACCGGCACATTTTGTACTGGAACCCCTGTCATATCTGTATTACTGCTAAACATAATTATCTGAACTTCTTTGTTCTGGTCCACAGTGTTACTACTGTATCTATATCTTAAGCATGAGTAATTTATATCTCAAGTGATGACATCTCTGTGATGACGTCTCTGTTCTTATGCACATTGTTTTCGCACTACTATACTACATACATTTTGTTCATGAAACATTGAGGGAACAATGACATAGATAAAAACGGTTTAGTCTTATATAGAAGTTCCCAAAAGCCAGCACCCTAATAAAAATAAAAGTTGTCCAAATCAGTAATTTTGTAACAAATAGAATCAATTATTTTAAGATTATGAGACATAGTTGATTAGATCATATGCCTCTTTTGAAAAAAAAATCCCAGGATCTTGTTCATTTACCATTGCCAGTAAAATTAGCCAGGCCGTAGATGACGCCATGAAAACTTTAATACTTTTGTTTTTGGGGATCAGTCTAATTATATTCCAAGATGCAAGGGAAGTGGTATAAGGGTGGAGTCTTGTTCAGGACCTCTATGGAGTCACTTCCCGCTCTGGGTGCGGCTCTCCGGTTCATTGTCCTGGCTCAGTTTGTTTGATAGATCTCCAATAGAATGCAACGACAACAGGAATGTGGCAGCGCGCCGTC